TTAATGCATTTAATTAAGGCAAGATCTATTATTTATTTATATTGCTTTTCTATTGAAATTATATTAAATAATAGTATCGGCAGATTTAAGTATTTTCAATATGTTAATCACAATGAATTTTGATTGTGAGATACAAATTGCAATATGACTGAATCTTAAATTATTCATGGTCGAAGTGATAACGAGACACAGATATTGTTATTACGGATAGACCATCGCGTGTGGCATTCTTACTTATGAAGCAAGTAGCTGATCTCACAAGCTAAAGTGTAGTGACACTTGAATGAACACGTGAATGTTTTGTTATAAAACAAAACATTGGAGACTCTCTGGGAGATTCCACATGGACCGGGTTTAGTTTCAAGAGGGGCCAAGCCCACTTGGGCTTATATTAATATGATACTAGGGTTTGAAAATTGTAGAGATTTATTATTCTTGCTAGTACAATAAAAGAAACCCTAACAATCATTCTTGTTCTCTGTGTGGATCACCATTGGAGGTTGGACAATTGGACAGCTTGAATTGCAGATCGTGATCATTGGAGTTCGTGAATCAGCAAAGGAGTTTGCAGAATTCATCAAAGGTATAATTCTCATCACAATTTCTATCTAACCACATTGCAGATCTTTGGTGGGAATTAAAAAATTGTTTTATTTCCACCGTGCATGATTAAGTAAATTCCCAACACAAATGACAAAAAAATCGGTTATACGCTAATTATAAACTAGCACCATAACTGAATTGGAATATATTCTAACTCTTTTGAGTAAGTGGCCAGCAACTTCCATTCCAGCACATTTTGTATTCTTCTAGGTCTTTCTTGGCTTACGATCTCGGATTTCAACACATCAAGATGCCTCGTAAACCATAGAAGGCCAAGAAAAGAAAGACATTGCTACTCGTCTGGGGCCATGGACAAATAGGGGCGCCACTTGGGGCCCCTATAGGTGGGGGGCCACAACCCTGGACAAGCATAATTATGCAGAAAGAAAACCAAATGAGCCAACAAAGTGAGCTAAAAAATATGGAGTCCTGGAATGTGCATGACGTGCAGGCCTAGTGGGAAAATTCTGACATGTGCAGAGAAAGGATCAGGCATCAATAATTAGGCAACCAAGCCAAGACATAGTGGTGGCAATGGGCCGAGCCGAGCCGGCGCGGCCCATTGTCGCACGAGCCGA